GTTCCGTCTGGTCTCGTTCTGTCCCATCAGGTCCGTTTGGTCCGTCGGGTTCCGTCGGGTTCCGTCTGGTCTCGTTCTGTCCCGTCAGTTTCTTCTCGACTGCGTCGGGAGGCGTCCGATGCTGTCAGATCGGGTCCGGTGGCGCGCGGTCCCGTCTGGTCTCATCTGGTCTTGTCTGGCCTCATACAATCCGCTCCCACCTTGCCTGTTCTCACCTGGTCCTTTTTATGAGATCTGGTCCCGTGCAGTCCCGCTCGCTCCCGTCTTGTCCCGTCCCGTCCCACCTAGGCCCATCCAGTCTCATTCAGTCCCATCCGTCTCCTGTGGCCGCAGCGTTGCCCACACTGCATTCCAGTCGTCAAGTCCCGATAATTTTCCTGTTTTAAATCACTTGGCTACTGCTGTGTTTACTTATCGCTTTTATCTTTGCCCTGCTAAGGTTTTGCATTCCGACTTACTCCAAGCAGGCATATTATACCTGTGACATGTCACGTGGTACAGTGAGACATTTGCTGCATTGACCCCGTTTTCATTCCGCCGCAGACTTTCGTACCGTCGATTTTTTGTATTTTGCTTTTTTATCCGACTTGTATCCCCGTCGACTTTTATCCGTTTCGACTTTATGTCGTTTGATGTTTTGCCATTCGACAACGAGGTGAACGAGGAATGACCGACCGAAGATGCGAGTATATCTGCTTTGAATGTCCAAAATGAGCTGAAACGATATGTGCAAAAGATGAGCACACTACTCCGGCACACAACTTCTTATCTGAGGTACTTGCGTTGCTTATCACAACCGTATCATCTTGATCCCTTAAGCATGCCTTGCCTCACTAAGCAGAATTGACAAATCAAATACAATAAGAATTGCTATCCACTCGCAAATAAGAAAGGCATGATTTAATGGCATTCCTTTTTAAAGTCATGCTGACTTTCCCCACCGGAACATACGGCACGCACGCGTGGTGCCCTGGGAACTGCGTCACATTGCCGCGGCGCGAATACTGACAAGAGATGACAGCAAATGATTGGCACCATTGGCTCCAGGTATCGTTGGCGTCACTCATGATTGCCATTCGGAGCGATGCCATCCTAATATATGTTTTAGCTATTGAGGAGTATAGGAGCAAAAGAACACTCAGGCGGAGCAGCGATTCACCTATAATTGATGATACCAGGCGTAAACGTCTGTAGGACTTTTCACCGACGGCAAAAATGTGTGTGAATACATGTGTCAACAAAACGTTTTTTACAATAACATGCGGCTGTCGGCTGCAGGCTTAACCAATGCCAACGGTCGCGAGCTTTCATGGCTGCAGGGACCGTGCTCAGACCAGACGAGATTTTAATGAGCGCACCCGTGCGTGGCTGATGTGACGTTTTTGTTAAATGCCGCAGAAAGGCAATTCGTCTGCCCGAGTGGTGCTCAGCCGGAGCCGGCGAGATGACTCAGCAGCGGTGCCGCCGTCTGGTGGCCGCCGCCGCAGGCTCGGCGATGCGCCCCCGGCGACTCTTCCCGGTCTAGCCAGCGATCAGCCGTTTAATGAATTCGTAATCCCCGAGTCGGGCGAGCGCCGCCAAAGTCATCAAACTGGGACGGCCGGCCGGCCGCGGCGCGCCCCGGCGGACCGGCTCGGTCCGCCGCCCGCCGCTCCCTGCAGCTGAAGACTCTGTAGCGGTCTGTCTCCGGACCTGGAGGCGCTCAAAGAAAGTCGCTGGTATCGGTATCTGGAGGCGGTGCAAAAGTCAGCTGTTCTTGTACACAGTGTTCTAGATGCTGCCAAATTCCCCAGCTGCATGTGATAAAGCATCTATCGAGTCCGGTGTTGTTCCGTCCAATGGCAAGTTGGGTTCTGTCTTTCCAAACGCATAATTCGACGAATTCCGACGATTCAAACAACTCAGACCCATTGCGACCCGGCTGACTGCTGTGAAGTTAACCGAGCGCGTTGTGTGTAATGTGCCAGTGTAATTTTTGGGCGGCCACCACATACTTCGTTAACAACAGTGCGGAATTACACCCGAACACTATATTTAGGTGAACGTGTTCGACGCCATGATGTATCGTCCGGAAACAAAGTAATGAGGGAAAGGCTTTATCCATGACGTCTGTTGATGCTTTTGAAGCTGTTGGCAATATCGAGCACGGTCGGCTGCCGGAGAAGCACAGTTAGTTTGACATCAATACTGACTGGTTCCGAATTTGGCTCAGCGACCTTAGCGGCGCGATGGCCATGAAGTGTTGCGAGGGACCAACGGCGCGGAACAGGAGTCAATGCTGGGACCGGGCTTATTTTTATAATTAGCTAGCCACATACCATTTCATATTACCGGCTTCAAGATTGTTATGTAAGCATGCGATGCTCAGTTTATTCCTGCCCGTGACGCAAACTTCAATTCAGCTGAAGGATGTGATTGGACCAGTTTGACCGCAACCGACTCTCGGTTTGTTCAAAATAGTTTTGAGATAAACCCCACGAGAACTGATGTTATCAGTGCCTGCTCCGATCAGCCACGCTTTGTGGGGTCGTTCTCTGTCCGTTTTGATGGCTCCGACATTCAATCTCCTGAGGATCGTGACCATGTCGTGAAAAAACATTTAAGTCGGGAAGCATACGTTCCAGTGTCATAAAACAATCCTGTGCCTGCAATTTTGACACTCCAAGACGTTTGCACGAATTAATGAAAAATTCAAACGGGACATGATTCAGACACTAATTTTTCCTTATTTTCAACGTTTTGTGGCATCTGAGAATAAACGTAAGAAGTGACATTTATACCCTGATGTTCTAAAAGTGAACGTGAAGTGAAGACTGAGACATTGCTTAGTGGCACGTTCTTAACAATCTTGCGCGCATAAGCAAGTGTGTTCATCTACATGCTCCTTTTCCTCACATTCTGGCTTCATTGAGATGGCTAAGAGTTCGTTAGCTATTGTTCAAACGTGACGCGTCAGCAGCGCTCAAAATTTCGCATCATGCCCAATCGCCGGCATCATCAAAACAGCGCGTGCTGTCTTGGGAAGCAGCATGACCTAGCGAGCTTGAGGAAGCGCAGCACGCCGTCTGCGTCTGTCCGAGGCGCGCACAGAGAGACCTCGACGGGACCTTGTCTTCCAAGCTACGTCAACATGGCACAGCTGTCATGTACACGGAGGTGTGCGAGCCAGCAGCCAACATGGCACAGCTGTCATGTCACGTACACGGAGGTGTGCGAGTCAGCAGCCAACATGGCACAGCCGTCACGTACACGGAGGTGTGCGAGCCAGCAGCCAACATGGCACAGCTGTCACGTACACGGAGGTGTGCGAGCCAGCAGCCAACATGACATAGCTGTCACGTACACGGAGGTGTGCGAGCCAGCAGCCAACATGACATAGCTGTCACGTACACGGAGGTGTGCGAGCCAGCAGCTCTCGTTGCCTGCATGCGGCGACTGCGGCCTTTATCACAACAGTTCTCTACGTGCTATTGACGTCTTGTAAGTCTAATTGGACTGATTAGAATTACTGTTGTTTGCTTCGTATTTTCTGTGGACATCTAATTCTGCGAGCCCGTGACTCTTGATAAAAAGCTACTGTGTGGAGGTTAGTAGAACGCATGATGATGATTAATCCATGCCACCGGTCCCCACTTGTGTGTTTTAGGAAAGTGGTCGACCTTTGGTTCACCACGCCGACGGGCTGCAATGACGACTTTCACTTGTTCATTTAAACCATTGCCAGGAGGGCAGCTCTGTCCACCGAGACGCCTGCGCCTCTGACGCTTCTTGTCTTGCAGAAAGACGAACAGTCAACAAATGACGGGCACATGATCGACGAGTGACCGATGATCAGACTATGGATGACCGAGCCTGGCGTCCGTCAACGCCAAATGTCCCGTCGCGCATTAGCCAATCCCATCGACCATCGATCGGAGCTTAGTGCTGGGCAGAGCTGGGCGTCCTGCTGAAGCTGCCAAACTGACGGCCCCAGTCGATGATGGCGTCTGGCAGCTCGCGGTCAGAGTTCGACGGAACCAGCGAGTGGCCTGGCTTGTACAACATTTCGAGGCCCGCGGCGATCGTCATCTGTCAGCCCCGGTCGGCTCGGAAAATACTCAGTGTCAGGTTCAGCTCAGTGTCGGGTTCAGCTCAGTGTCGGGTTCAGCTATTGTGGGAGAGCTTCCATGAGTTTGCGCACCACAATCACGGTGGAATAGCTTATGGGAACTGCGTGAATATGGCACTCGTAGATCTTCAATTTAGAACTATTTTTTGCTAATTTGTGTTGTTTTCAAGTATAAAAGTTTAAACCACTTAGTGCTGTCATGGTGAGATGGCCAAGTCGTCTGCCGGGTTTTCGCATTGACGGGTAAGGCGCGTGGCAAAGTTAGCTATATCTGAACTTCGCATGTGTTAGGTACCTTCATGCCGGGTTCAATGAACCATATTCACTATTAACCTTATTTATGCGGGTATTAGGCGTAAAGGAAATGCGATTGCATCTTGCGTTCCTAGGACGTTTCTATGGGTGACGAGTCAAACCAAATTGGACAGATTTTTGCCGTAAGTTGTCCGCCAGTCAAGCATTTCGTGCATTTTTAGATGAGTCATAGTCCCCCAGGCTCCTCAAACACTCAACAGGGCGTGCCTCTTAATTCGGGGCCTTTCAACCCGCCTCTCCGTAGCTCAGTGCGCATGCCGTTAAAATTGGCTGCACTGATTCGTTTGCAACAACTTGCAGGGAACTTGGTGAGTTGGATTCGGAGTCAGCGGGGGCTGAAAGAGCATTCGGCGCGGTTCTAACTATACAGAAGATGGCATCGGCAGATCGAATTTAGAAATACCATTCATTGTTTCAGCGGCAGACATTTCGTTCTCATCTATCAACGGTGGTTATCTTTGTAAAATCTCTCAGCTTCCTCGCACGGGGTGTTTGGTGACGAAGAGACGTAGCCCGAGGGGCGTCGTTGGTAACCCCTCAATCAGCCCAACAACGCAGCGCGTCCTTCTGCCGGCAGCTGGTCGCGGCGGAGGTCGCTGGCGGCTGACCAGCCGGCGGTGGAGCCGCTCGGCGCTGGCGGTGACGTCACGCCTGCGGGTGCGCTGCTGGTGATCCGGAGTGCGCGGCCCCGTCACACCGGCTGGTACTCCTGCCGGGCGGAGAGCCCCGCCGGCCATGCCACCGCTGACGTCTTCTTGGAGGTGCAGGTGAGGCTGGCGCGAGGTGGCCGATGGGCTCACGGTTGTTGGCAGTGACGGGCGGCGATGGGCCGGGCCCGGACGGCTGGCGGCCGATCAGTCGCCGCGGACGAGCCCGTCGCCTTCCGCGCCTGTTGGTGACACGCTCGTCAGAGGTATGTGGCTTCACTGCGCCACTTCCTGTGACTGGTGCCATTTTGCATGGCTTGAAGCATGACGGAAACAGCGAGCTGATGATTAAGTACGGAAATTTAACGACATATTCCACGTCTAAGATAATTTAGCGTTGCCATCTCTCGCCTCGAGTGCCTTGGATACGACGAAACTTGTGTTCGGTGGCCTGGCGCGGGCAGAATGCAATATTGGATGCAATGTGCTACAAAATCCTGTCGTGATACAGCTTGACTTGAGCATCAGTATAACGCCACCAGGGTAGGTCGTCCTCGCGAATGATTGCGATGTAGGTCTGAATTCGTGTGTGATATCGATGACCCCCTTACGCGGTGAGGAGGAGAGTGCGCAGCTGTCCGCTGCAGACCAGCCGGTAGGTCTGGAGAGGCCCCGTGTGGTCAGGCACGGCCGACAGCAGTCCCGGCACTGGGAAATGAGCTGCAGCCAATCTTGGAAAGTTGCAGGCTGAATGGACACGGGGGAATTATTTCTGCGAAGGAGTATCTAATATTCCCTTCTCCAGCTCGCTTTTCGGGCTTCCGTGGCTCTGTGAGGGTAAACGTGACTTATCGCTTTCATGCAGTAGGTACTGCGATCGCCTTAACTTCTGCCCCTCAGACCACGCTGTTGGAGACCCACCTGCCGTTCAGATGTGTTGCCTCTGGACGCATATGTGCTTCATTCTGCCCTTGGAATGTTGTTGTGACCTAGTCTCAACTATAAAAAAGCTGGTGACCTTGTCTCCCCCTGCTCATCAGGTGACATTGCGTTGTCTGTGACCGTGTCGGCGCTTCAGTCCGCCCTATTGTGCCAAGACTAGGTCCTACCGCCTCTCAGACGGGACTGCCACCGTCTTTCCTGCAGAAGGATAGATGTGGCTGTCTCTTTCTCCCTTCCCATGTGGTACTTGGGGACCTCCGTTACCTCAAAGAAGGGACCCAACCTTCATCTGAGGAAGTCTCCCCTTACCCCCAGGTGGTGATCTCATGACTGTCCCCCCTTTCAGGTGGTGCCACGTGTGGCCGTCTCCTGCCGTCTCTCAGATGGTGCTGTTCGTGACCTAGCCTCCTCTCTACCCCAGATGGTGCCATCAGTGACCTTGTATCCATCTTCTTCAGATGGTGTCCTCTCTGATGGCGTACCCTCCCCTGTCCCAGATGATACTGTCGGTGAGCGTCTCGCCGGCGCGGGTGACGGTAAACCGCGGCGGCACGTTCCGCCTCACCTGCACGGCGCCCCGACCCGCCTCTCTGCTCTGGCTGCGGGACGGGGCACGCATCGACACCGGCCGCCACCTCTCAGTCGCGCAAGGTACGTGCTGTTAATTAGCGGCCAGCAATAAATCGTCTGGCGCGAGCCGCCACTCGACGGTGCCGCCGCTCTCCTCCTCCTGCAGGATCGAGGCGGCAGACGGCGGCCGTGTGCAGGGTCCAACGCATCGAGAAAGAGAGGGAGAGAGAGAGAGAGAGAGAGAGAGAGAGAGAGGAGAGAGAGAGAGAGAGAGAGAGAGAGAGAGAGAGAGAGAGAGAGAGAGAGAGAGAGAGAGAGAGAGAGAGAGACCGAGAGCGAGACGGAGTGCAGGATTTGAAGCGAACGCTGTAGAGGAAAGTGCGACCAGACTTTAATGGGCTTTGACGGCTGATTTTACGTGAGTGCTTAGCGCGCAAGCACTTTCTAAAGGACTGGAAATGCGAGTCCTTCTGACCGCTTGATGTGCAGTAAACTGGACAAATGCACGTGGCCGCCAAAACTGTCCTCAGGGAATGTCAAATTTCTAGTGCAAACATCTTATCTCATGTGAAGAGGGGGGGGGGGGGGAGGGTGGCACGGCCACCCTGGGCCTTCTCTTGGATACGCAATCGATTGCAGGTATCTTGCAGTGAGGCGGCACCTTGGCGCAGTGCTCGTGAGTTTCCAGATCGCTCTTCTCAACTCCGGCCGGCCGTAATCCGGGGATTCATGGATGTCGTGACTCAAAAACGCCACGAGGCGCGTTCTGACATTACCGAAAGGCTATGCTTTAATCCACCTTGCCGGGCACGTTCACATTCTACTAATACCTTTCTCTCAGAGCCAACTCATTTCGGAGTGATGCAGACTTTCATCCAAAATCTCTTCACGACTCTCCCCTGTATCTTACCGTCACCTTTCCTGGCAACGCCCCCTGCTTTGCCTGGCCCTGACCTGTCGCTGCCTCTCGGCGGCAGCCTGGGCGCGCCTCTGCGACGGCTGCTCCGAATAACGACCGTGCCCGGCGGCGGCTTGATTAGCGCTTTGTTGCCGCCGGCGGGGAATGGTCCTGCGACACGCGCTCTCTGCGGTGGGCTCTGAGGCGGGCTGGGGGTGGGTTCTGAGCCGTGGGATGGGTGAGAGTGGGATGGCTTCTAAGGCGGGGGGTGGGGGTGGCATGGGCTCTGGGGTGGGAATGGGGTGGGGGGGGGACGGAATGTTCGGGAACATCCTCAGGAGCCTCGGGAAGGGACTGGCGGCAAAGTCGGAGGTGGCGGAGACGGCATATTCCAACAGGGACGACTGAGCAGAGACGGTGCTGTCCCAACCAAAGACGATATGGGCCGAGCAGAGTCGATATGGGCCAATCAGAGATGGTGCGAGTCCAGCCAAGACGATACGGACACAGACGCAGACGGTATTGGTCCTCCTAGAGACGATGTGGACCGACCATGCCGGCCCTGACACAAGCGTTATCAGCGATGTCGTTGGTCCGACAAGAGATGGTGCGAGCCTAAGCGGAAATGCGAAATGGTACTGACTACGTCAGGGATGGTTCATAAATGCGATGAGGACCAACATCAAAGACGACGGCTGGTTCATACTGACGGAAGAGACGGCATAAGAGACGGCATTGGCCTTGCCAAACATGGTATGGACCAGGTCGGGACGGTGCTGGCCCCTTAAGAGATACAGGTGAGAGACGGTGTTGCCATGGATGTAGCCATCTTCGGGGTTGGTGAAGATCTAGAGACTTAAAGGCCGACCAGATTATTTTTTCTCCAGTTTTCCCGTATGAAATGGCACGAAGGCAGAATTGGCCCTGTTGCATTTAAAACCTGGCTGCGTCCATAGGTGTTGGCCCTGTAAGACACGATGAGCACTCAATCAGAGACGATAGGTGCATAGCGAGAGACGAATGGCCCCCTTGTGGTCAAAGATGAGAGAGTGTACGGCCCAATCAAACACGGCATAGGCCCAACCAAGCACGGCATACGGGCCTCATCAGAGGCGACTTGGGTGCAGCCGAAGGCAGCGGCGCATGGACTCTGTGGTGCGAGTGGATGGCGATCTTTGTATGTGCTTTTGACTGGCAACATTTGAGAAATCTAGCACTAGATCTGTTTATGGTCGCTACATTTATAAAAAAGGCGTCGCGTGGAAGCCCAGCTATCTTGCTAACTTATGGCTTGGCCAGCGACGTTCTTGCACGTGCCTTAACGCTATTCGTTCACCACTTAGATGCCCGGGCCTAGTCTAAGTCTTGGCGTTGATATTTCCAGAAATGACAAGTGACCTGCAGGTGTCCCGGCTGGAGGGGGCTGACATGAAACAGTCGGCGCAGGGCATGTACCAGTGCTTCGCCTCCAGCAAGTTTGACTCAGTTCAGGCCGCCGTCCAGGTGCTCCTCGGAGGTGAGCGGCTGGCGTGATCTAGATCTGTCAAGGGAAATGTGGACCTGGTGAAGACTATCTGAAAGTGGCATGAGGCTCCTCAAGCCTCTTCCCCGAGCTCTTGCAGCTGATACGATTTTACGTCAGTGATCGTACCCAAATAAGATTTTGGAAACTAGGGGTAGCAGGAAATAAGGGCTCATGTGTTAATCTTTTGTTGGATGTTATTTGTCCAGGCATCAGATTCATCATGTATGGAATGTCGAGGTGCCACGTAACAGCGGTTTCAGACGTACTCAGTTGAATTCACACTCTTGTTAAGTACATGGTGGGACGCGGTATCAGCCAGGAGACCTGCCACAATTTTTTTCAGATATGCTGCCAAAGTGTATCACAACGCCACAGGCGTGATGAAACCTCTGTCACCATGCTCCCGTGCCGAAAATGCTAAGCCAGGTTCGTCAAATGTTCCTTAAGCCGATTGTTTACCAACAGACTCGCATCCCGTTCTGCTGGAGAAGTTCATCAACCACACGGTGCCGCCGTTCGCCGCCATTTCCCTCCGATGCGTCGCGAACGCCTCGCCAACGCCGCAGATCAGCTGGCTTCTGGACGGCTACCCGCTGAGCCCCGACCACAGGTGGGATTCGGGGCGGTCGTGGTCAGCATGGTGGTCCATGTTAAGTCAAGTTCGGGCCAACGCAGGTCAGCGTCGAGGAACTTCGGGCTGACACGTGGAACACGGCCGAACGCTGGGATGAGGGGACCACTTCGGCGCTGTCGATCATTATCAACGTCATCACTGCTCATCACCGGTCATCTGCGGGCTTGATCACTTACCTTTCAACTCTGTGATGTAGTTGCTGAGATGTACAGCGTGTACAGCATGTACGGCGCGTATAGTGAGGGTGTACAGCGTGTACAGCGTGTGCGGCGTGTATAGTGAGACTGTGCAGCGCGTAAAATGCATACGGCGTGTATAGTGAGGGTGTGCAGCGTGTACAGCGTGTACGGCGTGTATAGTGAGGGTGTGCGGTGTGTACAGCGTGTACGGCGTGCGGATTGCGCTGTCGCCGGAGCTCTGCCTGCATGAACGATCCAGCGGACTGCTGTACGTCTATCGGTTGTTGCTGATATACGCGGAACGGCCATAAGAGCGACCTGACCCACTGGTCCGCCTATTTTTCTCTCCTGGTGCCACAGGCGGCTCATCGGCCAGTACGTCAGCGCCAACAATGACGTCATCAGTCACGTGAACATCAGCTCGGCAATGCCGGTGGATGGTGGATGGATCACGTGTCGCGCCGCCAACCGATTCGGAGCTGTCCAGCACGCGGCCCGCCTTAACATCTACGGTGCGTGATTCCCCCTTCATGATCGGATGAAGCATGACGACGATGTGGCAGGAACTGGGACACCAGTAACAGCAAAACATTGCACGTGGAACACGGCTGCATGTAAAGGCCGTCTTTCGAAGGGACAGTGGTTACGGCCACCCATTTTGCGTGGGAGCTCAGCTTGCATGAAGCGAAGTGTTGACTGGAAATGCATTTTGGCCTTTTTTATTTTTTTATTTCATGCTACTGTGCCCTCCGTGGCACCTTTTTAGTTGTACATGGTTGTTGTTTTGCCAGGTTTTTTGCGCTTTTGGTACTGTTTTTGTGTTACAAACTTCTAGAGGAAATGAGGCGTGCCCCCTCCCCCCCCCCTCTGTCAGCGTCCTTTGCAAAGAGTGAAAACAAAACCATGAATGTCGCGATAGTCTCGTCGCTCTGTTTTTGTCGCCGCGCGGAAGTTCCTTTTCGAAATTAGTTTCATACGAGGTTAAGAAATCCACGTCGTTGTTTTTTTTCTGCGAGCCGGCCGCTGGGATCGTATTGCATATGTATAGCGCCAGCTTATTAACACAGCGTATATGCTGTCAAAATCTGAAAGCGTCAATTTCTAAAAGCCCCCACGTTCGGAAACTCTATTTCTGTAGGCCCAGTGCACCCCATCTTCCTCGTTCGTTCCCGTCGGTTCGTGAAGGAAGGGGGGGGGGGGGGAGCGTCTGGAGAGTGACGACTGACTAAACCTACCCTGAAAAACCAATTAACGAGTTTATCTCTGGATGTGGCCTACTTTCTTTCAAAGTTGGGGGGAGGGGCGGGCAGGAACGGAAATGATGGCAGGGAGGAACTGGAGCCCTCCGGTTGAATAGGCAACCACACCCCTGCAGGGCCTAACCAACACCCCAGTCATTAATCATTTCTACAGCCTCGTCCTGTAAACGCTTTTCAACCGCCGTAAGTTCTTCAGTGCATTAGCGAGGAACATTATTCACATAGATAAGACAGTGGCATTAGCCTTATTCCTCGGAAACACCATGAGAAGCTATAACCAAACTATATACCAAGCTATAACTGATATATATCAAATATATATATATATATATATAAGCTCACAGATATATATATATATATATATATGTGTGTGTGTGTGTGTGTATATATATATATATTTATTTATTTATATTTATATATATATATATTTCTAATATGTACCACACCATATCTCCATTCCCCTGGTTTTTTCCAAGGAATAAGGCTAATGCTACTGTCTTGGCTATTCAACCGCCGTTTTCAACGGAGGTTCCTCGCTGGCAGCTCCGGACCGCCGTGCCTCTGGCGCTTGCGTTCCGTGTCGGCCATATTTCTCTGCTCTTGACACAGCTCCCGCAATTTCATAGAGTTTGTGCCATGTTTCCAGCTCACGTTCTTCGTAAGCTCACAGACGCGCTGGAATTGGACCGGGCGCGGTCTCACCTGATACTGCTGCCTCTGGTACAACCGTGTTTCGCCCCGACCATCTGCTACCACTTCATCTGGTCCTTCAAACCTGGTGCTCCTGCCATAGCCTGACGGCAAGCCACCGGTGGCAGTCCACCAGTCTTGCCATGGCATGTCGTGTGTAGCCACCGGTGGCAGTCCACCAGTCTTGCCATCGCGTGTCGTGTGTAGCCACCGGTGGCAGTCTTCCCGTCTTGCCACGGCATACCGTGTGTACGGAGCCCTCGATCCAGGCCTTGACCACCGCCCCGCCGCGCCGTGCCCCAGGCATTGTCCACGAGACAACGCCTGACCAGTGGCGACACGCTGCAGTCCTGACCGGAAATTGCGGCTGTCTGTATGCAGCTTTGAGGTTTTAATCACCTGCTTTCCTTACCGATCTAACCGCACGCGATGCACATAGCGACACAGAATGACGGCACAACATCATCTCGGTCGATGTAACTGCATGCGTTGTGATCACTGTTCAAGCAATGCTACTACAAACGATGAAGCAATCACAGTGCAATCACAAGCGGTGTAACCAAAACTCCAGGGCAGCACAAGCTCCGCAGACACACGTCACATGACCACAAACTTCGTTGCCAAAAGTGCCGAGTCATGCTCCGCTGTTCTGCAACTTAAGGTGCCCCGCCCGTCTATTGACCTGACCTGTCTGACCCTCAGGCAAGCCGCAGGTCAGACCAATGCCGGAGGTTTTGGCGGTGGCCGGCGAGTCCCTTCTGCTGACCTGCTCTGTCGGAGGTCACCCCATCCACGAGATTACATGGAGCCAAGGTGAGCAAGGTTTGGTCGCGACGCTGCTCTGGCTTACAGCGTGTGTTGGTCGACTTCCAAAAGAACTCTTCGGTAATATTTACGCAGACATGTATGTTTTGTGTATCTATCTTCGATGTCACTGGCTTATATATATATATATATATATATATATATATATATATATATATACATATATACATGTATATATATACGTGTATATATACATGTGTATATATATATATATATATGCATGTATATATGTATATATATTCTGTTGAAATCACAGTGGACTCAGAATTGATTATCTTTTTTGATGTTTTCTCAATAAATCTGATGTCAGCTTTCGCTTTTTCTCGACGCTCGTTTAAACTGGCCCAAAGCTCATGATAAAAGGAGATGGAGGTTGCCATACTGCATGGCCTGGTATAATCTATATTCTTAACGTTTCATCCACGGGTGTCGATTGGCATTCTTTTTTGAGAGTCCTGCCCGCCCCCTCCATAATGAGTTGTTTTTCCCAATGTTGGCTTGGTCCCCCCAATGTTTTTGGCCGGAACACTACAAAAAACGTGGGTAGAAAATGATCATAACATAAAGGCTTTCTTCTTTAATCTTTCTGCGTAGTGGTGTCTCGTACCACTCTCATAACAAAAAGTCACGGTTGTTCTCACTATAAGACAAAAGTCGTAGCAGCTGAACGGATAACCGATGCAATGAACTCCACATACATAGCGCCATAAGACACGCAATGATTCGTTAGTTTTAAGTGAAAATCTCCGGAATATGGGGATCACCTAAGTCCTTCATGGCTAACCCCGTTCCCGTCCCCCACAACCAAAATGCGTGCCGCCCCCCATGACCGCCATAGAAGAGCGCCACTGGCGCCCTAAGGTGGCCTCGAAAGGGGCGCCTTCACGTGCCGATCAGAAGAGACGCGTGCGTCCAGTGCCTGCTCCCTGCATCCAACCCTGCATGACTTTTGTACTGCTTAAATTAAAGACTTATCAATTATACAAAGATCAGGAACATAGATTGTGTTTAATCAAAATAAAGTGGGCTAAATCCGGTAAGAAAAATTGTGGGGTAGGTTGTTGAGCCTTCGGTTCGACTGCCCAATAGTTAACCAAAAAGACACCCCTATCTTCATTCTTCGCTGGTCATTTTCTAGAGTGACAGTCTTAGACAAATTCGGTATGATCGCGCGTTTATCAAATTCAAGTTCTCTCGTGGCTATTCTAACATAGATCTCGTGTCTACATACCTCAGCTTTTGGTGGCCCTCCGTGCCGATGGAAGGATCTACGCGCATTTGTCTGTTAATGAGAGTTCCCATTCGTGGGTGCATATTGCTCTAGAGCGACACGTTTTTGTCTCTGTTCAAGGACCGGCTCTGGTCCGTATTGCGCGGTGTTGTAGGATCGTAAGGTGGAAAGAGGTGGATGTAAGCGGATATACACCTGTAACTTAAGATGTTATATTGGCAAGCACCAATTACGCGTAAATGCTGCTGTTCAGGACGGATAATTTTCATGTAATAGGCTCATCATTTTGTGACGGCCAAGGCTACTAGAGAAGGCTACGCAGACGTGACGTCACCATGGGACTACAATTTGGTAGCCTGTAGTATGGCTTGTGGCTGATGCTACGCAAAGGTTGGTAGATGCTAGTAACATAATTACGAACGGAGATTTCGACAATGAGCTGAGTAGCCATCCTGTTCTACATCATTATTTCAATGTTATGGGAATAGATATTGTAAATTTTGCATTGAAAACCCTCTAAAGACAAAGTATTACCACGATCTGCTTCAAAAATAAATCCTACTAAACCACGTTTTCTAGGTTTAGTGCCCGCGCCATATTCGTCGTTGTCAACGTGCCCGAATATTTATATGTAATGCCTCTTTGTGGAATGTATATTTATTCGTAAGTAAATGGATATCATGTGTAATGTTTACATTATGAATGGGCGAGGATTGTTCATTTATCGTCGTACTGCAGTACCTAAATGAAGTGAAATGTGATAATACGGTAATGTGAGGAGGACAGGTGCAAACAATTTCGCTGTTTCTTTATTATGATCTTACTAGTCGTTAATTAACTTGCAGATCCATGATGTCGGATGGGTTAGGTGCAAAAGGTTTGGAGAGAATAATACCCCGACCACCCTTATATATCCCCAAGACTGTTCCCCAGCTGAGATACGGGCCACCATTCTTTGACTGGCAGAAATTGCAAAACCTGCCAGATATCGTCTTGAGCTTGCCCCGAAGGGACCCATTGGCTCCGAGGGGGCCCATAGCCAGCCGAATAGGTGGAGTTTTTAAACACAGAACACAACAAAACTGGGTACCTCTGGACTTCCAGGCGACCAAGAACAGTTGTAAGCGAAAGCAAAGGGTCTATGAGAAGTCCAAAAATATGCAGTGATTGGAAAAATTGTGAACTGGAAATTTCAGGCACCATTACACTGCCTAGGGACCCATGTTGTTTCCGGGGACCTATATGCCCACTCGCAAGATCATTTCGATCGTTAAGGAGCATTCCACGTTGCCCTTCATCTCTTTGCATTTGATCGGAGGGCCCTGCGCTGTTGTTGGGGCTCTTCCTGTTGGCGTACTGGGGCACTCTTGTCAATCACGGGCCCTTCCAAAGATTTTTCTCATTCGCCAGAAAGGCTCTGTGAACTATAGCCGGGGTCCCACATCTTAACCAGCCGGCGTATTCTCGGTTGCTCAGGGACCCCTTTACGTGGGTCTCGGTTAACCTACCAACATACTTGCCATATGCCCATGGGCCCTCTACATTGATCTAGGGCGTTTCCAATTCTCTGTCACTTACTTAGGGCCCTACAATCTTGCCGGGTCCCGTCTGATGGCCTATTTGGGCACACTCAGTTGTTCTGGGACCCTCCACACAGGGTCTTGGGTACTCCTTTTCTGAATGGGGGCCCTACGCTCTTGTGGGCAGGCATATATGATAATCTGCTCAGGCACATTCGATGGTTCGGGGGCCCTCTTCACTGGGACTCGGGCACGTGCCATTTGAATGGGGCTCTACGCACTTGTCGGGGGCCCCCTCTGTTCGCCTCCTCGGCCACACTGGATTGCTAGGGGACCTTGCACATTGGTTCTTGGTGTTTGAGTTCAGGGCCCTCTGCTCCTATCGGGGTCATCTGATAACCTGTTCGGGTACTCTCTATCCCTCGGGGGCCCTGCGCACCGTGTTTTGAGCACATCTTATTTGATTGGAGAGTCTTACGCTCCTGTCGGGAGCCCTTCTGATAAGATGTTTGGGTCCATTCGATCGTGGGGGCCCTCTTCATTGCGTCTTGGGTACTCTCTATTTCAATGGAGGGCCCTAGACTCTTGACACGGTCCCTATATGTTAACCTGCAAGGGCGCGTTCGATCGTGCAGAGCCCTACACGTTGCGTCGTCAGTATTTCTCATTTGAATGGATGGCCCTATGTTCTTAGCGGGTCCCATCTATTCAGCTGTTCAAGCTGGAGGCGGCTGCAGAGGGTGGGGGGGGGGGGGGGGGGCACTGGACCATGCACCATGAATCATGCCGAGGGGATCTATAGGCTCCGAAGAGCCCATACCCGGCCCGACAGCCGCAGTTTTCTTACAACAAAAAAAGAAAAAAGGGATGTCTTTGGGCTTACCGACGACCAAAAACCACTGTAAACAAAGGTAAAGAGTTTCTAAGCAAGCAATGTTCGTAAGCAAAGACAAAGCACCCCATGTCTATACATGCGTAGCACGCCTAGCTTGATAGGACTGTGCACAGTAGGATAGGTCTACGTGTTCACTAAACAAGTGAATAGGTAAATATATGTGTATATTATATATATATACCTACACACACACACACACGTACACACACATATATATATATATATATATATATATATATATTGCATACGACTTGTCTTAAAATGTAATGACCGAAATGCAAGAACATTTTTGGGAGGGGCCCCAAACCCCAGGGGCCCCACAATGTTTGTGCCTCCCCCTTGACGAAATCCTGGATCTGCCCCTTGTGTAACTTCTCAATGCGCGTCCCAGGGTGCTGCAAGGTCGTCTGGGCCGCCGTTTTTCATCTCCACCCTATGCTGTCGTTGTTGTATGTTGTTTTTTTTTACACAGACTGCTTCCACGCACTTCCGGCGGAAGTTTTCCGGGATAAATCACATTCGAATGGGTGAATGGGTTACCTCATCTCTCTGTCGCGGGCAGACTGGTAGCGCATTTCAGCAATAATTTTGTAGCTCTGACGCAAACCAACGCCATTTCCCACCTGCAAATGCGTCATTGAAGGTGCTAGGTCCTAAAAGATCCGACTTATAGAAATACGTATACTTTAACCACCCCGAAAAAGCAGCGTTTTCAGGCGGCCGTATTATCAGTGGCATACGACTTAGTCCCATGAGGACGTTAGAGCCTCGCTACCCAGAATGCAGTAATGCAAAGTTGACTTGGTGACAGCCAATCTGACGCGGCAAGACAAAACATCGTGATGTCAACAAGATCTGCATATGAAACAGGGAGCATGGCGTAAAGAATCGTCAGGAGAAATGAAGAGGAAAATTAATCAAATGTTATGCTTCCATAATCGGCTAACCTGTGCTAATATATGCTGTAGTGAAGCACTGAGGCGAATGCAAATTATTATTTGTAAAATGGACGCCAGGTGTGCGGAATCAGTACGAGAGTGTAGGTGTGTAAATGCATGATATGCAAGCATGCCAATGCAATTTTAGTTCATACGCTTGATCACAAAGTTGATAGCGCATACAAAACGCAATAAACCGTAATGTTGCATTTACCATACAATGCTATTTTTTTAATTGAACTATGTTCAAAACATTTGTGTCTGAAAAGGTCGCAACACATGCAGGTCAAATAAAGTATGACTTTCTTTTCCCTTGCCTGATATGCATCTTATGCAAGCAGTGTGCTAGTTTCCTCGTCAAAAGTTTGAAAAGTTCTGGCCCATGCCAGACTTTTATGAGACCAAAGTCACCAAACGTTGCACCACTATTACACACCATGTTTTGACTCCTGGTTCTCACTTATTATTCCCAAACCCAACATACGATTATAAGTTTTACTTAGTTCGTCACAGACACAACACCTTCCTTTCTGGATTCGGTTTATTTAACCACAAACCTTTTGATACCGACTCCTGTTCGCCATGGACTCATTTGTCAACACCAGCTCGGGCTGCTATTGGACAACATTCTGCCATGAAAATAAGGTCTGAGGTCAAAGATATCTTTCATACGTGCTTTAATAATTGCATGCACACACCGTATAGGTTCATCGAGTGAATGCATAATGGTTTCTTATAATGCTTCCACGTGAGATCCTGGTTCTTGTTGGTGCCTTTGACTTCATACTGCATCTTGGTTGTTGCTGGGTCCTGATTACATTTCCAGGCTGGCTCTGGGTTTTTGCGTGATTTCTGGCGATATTATTGGCTGAGCATTTGCGCTTGACTGATCTAGCAGCACAATGCAAGCTGACTCTCAACGCTTGCTGGAACCCCCCGCGTACTTCAGGCCGTGTTTTGACTTCTTGTTAGATCTGTTGAACCGCACCAGCAGCAGTGTGATTAGCGAGTAGACAGCAATACGACCAGAGGGTTGGCGGGAATACTGATCGGCAGCTCGATCGATGGTCACTCTTGCTTGCGCCGATACCAAGAGGACACCGCTTCGGAATCGGAGAGCAGCTCCTGCAGGCCGTCGGCGGTGGGCAGCGACAGGAGTGGGGCCGTGTCCCTGGGTAGGATTTCTCGCCGCATAGGGTGGGCCGGACGGCCACGTCTTCCGACCCTTAACCAGCGCCAGGAACATGAAGCCGGGTGGACGACCTTCTGTGACGCGTGGACACCCGTAGCTCGGCTCGCGGCCGCCGATAGGCGTGGCGGCTCCGGGATTGCAACGCCGTTGACGAATGGGACGACGCCCATCTGGGGGCACAAAGCCAGGCGGGTCCGGGGCTGGCAGCATGCCACCCCGTGTCACATGGGCCGGTACTCGCGCCAGTGAGCAGCTCGGTCGAAACATAGCCGCACGCCCCAGGAGTCAGTGATCTGTGTGGACCTGCGGTCCGACTCAGACTTTTGTAACCGACTCAGGCATCGGTGATCTACAGTGAGCTGAGGTGACCTCCCACACCGCCTGCTGGGCTGGGCTTGCCAGACGCCAGATGCCAGAGACTTGACACGTCTGTGAGGCAGTGTCAGATGTGTGACACAAACACGCAGCCCGAGGAGGGAGACTTTTGTCCACTGGCTGACACCGGGCTTTAGTCCGGGCGTCGAGGTGATGCAGCCCACAGGCGTAAGGCTCCAATGCCGCCCGAAGTGAGCTGGTTTGGTGAACCTTGACAACATCACGCGCTCAAGCAGCTCTGATGCCGGATATGATACCGTACCCCTGTGACGAGTGCTGATTCCCAGCACTGGGAGCGCCCAACGCCAGAACTGGGCAGCCCTTTGCCACTCTAGCACTTCCGGTCTTGCCAAACGGAGAAGTCTGCCGCTGTGAAAGTGCTTGATGTTTAAGATCGGGTGCATTAGCATCATAGACACAAAACAATGCAGGGCCTGTGTGAGGCACGTCAGCGCAGGGGCGGGGCGGGGGCGTGAAAAACGTCCCAAATGTTAGCCAGGTCCGCTGTCCGGTGGTTGTCAGCTCTGCTGTCTGGCAGCGATGAGCTCCGCTGTCCGGTGGTTGTCAGCTCTGCTGTATGGCAGCAATGAGCCCCGCTGTCCGATGGTTGTCAGCTCTGCTGTCTGGCAGCGATGAGCTCCGTTATCCGGTGTTTGTTAGCTCCTGCTGTCTGGCAGCGATGAGCTCCGTTGTCCGGTGTTTGTCAGGCCTGTTGTCTGGCAGCAATGAGCTCCGCTGTCCGGTAGTTGTCTGCTCGGCTGTCTGGTGGCGGTGTACTGGCCTGTAAGCAGCCTGACTAACTGCTCGGTGGGTCATGTCCGGTCACGGGTCGTTGGCGCCGCATGACCGGAGTCGACCACCCGTCAACAGCGGCGCCACTGCCGCTAGGGCTGGCAGGACCGCCCGTCGACAGCGGCGCCACTGCCATGTTGCTGGGGCTGGCGGGACCGCCCGTCGACAGCGGCGCCACTGCCATGTTGCTGGGGCTGGCGGGACCGCCCGTCAACAGCGGCGCCGCTGCCATGTTGCTGGGGCTGGCGGGACCGCCCGTCGACAGCGGCGCCGCTGCCATGTTGCTGGGGCTGGCGGGTGGCTCTCCGGCGATGCTGATCTTCGTCGGCGTAAGCCGCTCGTCATGGCCCCGACGGCCGGGGTCGTGCTGACCTGGCGCGGCGGCCGCCGCCGACTGCTACATATTTGATGCAGCGTTGCCGGGTAATCGGGCCCGCTAGCCGTCAGCCTCTCACGCCGTGAAGCCGGCACCAGGGCCGCGTTCATTAGCAGTAGTTCACAGTGGAGAGTGCTTCGTGCTGGCTGGATGGCCTGCGGCAACACGTGCGCGCAGGAAATCGATCGCTCCCGGGACTTCAGGCCGAGAGATACCGGAAAGTGACACCGCGTGGTTCTCTGTGTGGCGATAGTGCTTACGCGGTCTTTGGGCACACAGCTCTCTCGCACCGTCAATTCGTGGCCATGCAGGCATTAGTCAGGCAGAACGTCGCGTCTGCCATGTCACCCTAACGACCCATATAAAGCTTTTCATTTGCCCTCACTCATGTGAAGTCAAAAATCAATTTCGTTAAAGGCCAGCAAGTTAATCAGCGGCTACCGGGAACCAACCGCCCCCACGAAACGCGCCCAGCTGCCGTATCTGGCCCGTAAAATGTGCTAATTAGTTGCGCTAATCCTAGATCCAAGTTCGCTCCGGTTACTGACACCGGCAGCAGTGCCTCCCACAGAGTGACGTCGGAAGTGACACCAGCGGCGTCGCCTCCGCACGGGTGGCGTCGCGACTGACGCCGGAAGGACAGCTTCCGACGGGGTGATGTGACTGGAGCCTCCCACAGAGTGCCGTCGGAAGTGACACCGGCGGCGTCGCCTCCGCACGGGTGGCGTCGCGACTGACGCCGGAAGGGCAGCTTCCGACGGGGTGATGTGACTGGAGCCTGCGGTGCACTGACGTGGCAACTGGCCGTGACGTTCGTGACACGCTAACACAGCGACCGTTGTGATGTTCTGCCGTTTCGGCTCGCACGTGACATGATCAACAGGCATCAACGAACTCGACTTTCGCAGCGTGTCGGTTTTCACGCGGTGGCGTGACGATCGGCTGACGTGCTTAGGGCGTACTGTGCGGTGTCACGACACGTGTGTCGTCGTGACCACCCACGTACGTGACGGGCTGCCGAACCGGTCTTTACCTGTACATTACCTTTGCTCACAACCTAGCGTCCGTCCATCGTAGATGCCTCCCTCTTTACAACTTCGTCGCACCCTTTTCAAGCTTGTCACTCGTTTTCTCACCAGCTTAATACATCATGCGCAGCTGCCGTAATGCCCACCACAAGTATGAGTGTACTGCCTGGTAAACACAAATTTGCCGACTTCCCCCCCCCCCCCCCCCCCAGATGGTCGGCGGCTGCCGGTCGGCCGTGAGCAGCGGGTGTTCGCCAACGGTTCGCTGCTGCTGGAGCGGGTGCAGAAGTCGAGCAGCGGCGGCGGGTACAGCTGCACTGCGCGCGGCGCTGGCGACGCCACGTCCACGGGCAACGTCAACGTCAAGGTTATCGGTGAGTCCGCGCGTGGCGACGACTCCACGCTGGGGGTGCGTTCGTGTAATTTTCAGCTTGAACGATGCGAACGCGTCGGGATAAATTGATTGCCAAAGTTTTGCGCGTGTAAGACATTATGAAGGCCCCGCACATCCCCGCCATCCCTCAGGGATCAGCTTTGGCGGTGATTTCCTGTGGGTCCATATGTTTCAAGTTATATTTCGAGTTTGATTCCCTGCAAGGCTGATATGTGCCAGAGCCGACTGATCGTCGCCTCTGTTTTCCCTGCAAGGCTCATATGTGCCAGAGCCGACTGATTGTCGCCTCTGTTTTCCCTGCAAGGCTGATATGTGCCAGAGCCGACTGGTCCTCGCCTCTGTTTTCCTGCAAGGCTCATATGGGCCGGAGCCGACTGGTCCTCGCCTCTGTTTTCCCTGCAAGGCTCATATGTGCCAGAGCCGACTGGTTCTCGCCTCTGTTTTCCCTGCAAGGCTCATATGTGGCAGAGCCGACTCATTGTCGCCTGTTTTCCCTGCAAGGCTGATATGTGCCAGAGCCGACTGGTCCTCGCCTCTGTTTTCCTTCGACCGTGGCTCTACCGTAATGCACCCACGTTCATAAGTCTCTGCGCTAGCCTGCAGTCTGGTTGACTGACCGTTAAATCATGCTTTTCATCAATTGATCGACGGATCATTTAAAACCCTGCTTCCGGTGGAGACTTCCGGCCCCTTTGTTTTTGTCAATATTTGAAAGTATGGTAGAAGGGTGTTCATTTTCTGATTTCCCTAGATGTCCTTTTCATGTACCGTGTCAATATTTAGGGTATATGGGGCGTACAAGAACGATAAAAGGCCCGGTATTACGAGGACATTCAGTGAAATTGTCTGGAGTACAGTGAAATTTACCGTAAGTACGTACAGAAGCATTGCCTTGTGTTTACCGGAGATAATGACGGTTTCTTTTAATTAGAAAATTGCAACATGGATGTGGTGATGGCAACAGAGTAAAAGTAGCCTGGCAGAGCCGGTGCCAGGGATCGAAAGAGAAGAGTTTCCGAACTGTGTGTAATGCATGACGGTTCGCCAGTGCAGGCATATAAGGAATGCTGATCGGTTTCTAGATGAAAAGCTGCCTACTGAAGGCAATATTTACACAAACTATGTATATATATATATATATATATATATTTATATATATATTTATATATATATAGCTGGTAGACGTCCTTGTCATCCTATATATATATATATATATATATATATATATATATATATATATATATATATATAGGATGAAAAGGACGTCTACCAGCTTTGCGAGAGGACGTGCAAAGAAATATAGGCTCAACGCTACGCCAGCCGCAGGTTGCTTTGAATGAATAATGTACGAAATTATGTACACATGGGAACCTGGAGTCAGGAAGTGAACCATTTTTGGGCCTGAGCAGCATTAGAGATTCGAGTAAGAGGGCTCATACCACCTGGACAAGAGAGCTTACAGCTGAATGCTGCATGTAATCCCCACAATTTGTTCAGAAATAGCATCTTAAATAGCTGCCAGAGGCGAGAGCGGGCTCGACAATGGGAGTGAGGGTGGGATTAGGGCACACGGAGATATTGGGCATCAGGAGCGGCTGCAACTTGACGACGCTCGTGAGCTCGGCAGCAGGCCATACGTACTCACGTGTCTTTAAGTAATCACTCAGCCCGATCAATCCGATCAATCTTCCCCCTCCTTTTGAAAGCTGAATAAGCCCGTGACTCCTGTCCAGGGGTGTTACCGTAGTGCCGCAAGCCATTTACGGAGCCCAGAAACATTGTGGCCGATAATGATTTATGTTGGCAACGGCTTATATTGATAAGGAATTATGTCGGTCTCTTAACCTTCCCTACTCACTATCCTAATCGGCTCACTGGCTATGCCTACGCCAACATTTAGTCTCGGGTCGCCTTTCATAAGGACAAGACAAATCACCATCCCATTTACTTCGCAAACACTTAACTAAAATCGTGCTTTGGATAATGTAGTTTCATCCGATCTCGCGTCGCATTTTCTACCTGCATCCATATCATTCAATTGCATCCCACTTTCTCTATATCGATCTCGAAATCATTAGGTACCGATTTGAGTTGGCTGAGTCAAAATGGGTTGAAAAACGTGACGACTGTGTCGGATAAAAGATGTGTAAAATTCTCCCACCCCGATAGCAATTATTGGGACCTTTTTTAAAAGTGTAGATGTTGCGGGAATAAAAACTTATTCAAAATCAGCCCAGTAGTTCCCTTGATCTCCAGGGTGTGCAATCCTCTACTTCACTCTTCACTGGGAAAAAGGGGCAATGGGAAGCTGGTCACTAACAGGATTTACTATAAGTAGAGTAGCGAGAAACGTCATATCATATCAGAACGTCTGTGTATTGGGCCAAAAGAGAGGGCCCCGTGCACTGCAATAGCAACGTCCTGTTTCACGTGACGCGTCACGCTCGGTTTCTCGCGGGTGCAGTTAGAACATGGGGACTGGAGCGCCCATCCATTAACTTCAATGCTATTACCAATTTGTTTCCATCAAACAAAGTCCGCTCGGCAAACAATCTATCGTGCACTAAATCAAACAAGGTTGGCGTTGCTTTGGTTGTCTTCTTCGGCCCTTCCTCCCTGGCATTGTCTTCAGCATCTTCCTGACATCCTCCTGGTGTCATTCCCATTGTCCACCCCAGCGTCCTTTCGACGTGCTCCCAGTGTCCCCACGATATCCTCCCGGAGAGCTCGGACGTTCTCCCGAGTGTTATCCAGCCGCGGTGCAGGACGGCCATAGCTGCTCGAGGGCCGCACCCGGGCGGTGGGTCACGCGCCTCCGTCGCTAGCCTCGTCGGACAGAGTCCCCCGCGGGCCGAAGCTGCCCCCCCCCCCCCCATCCCCCACCCACCGACTGTGTTGCTGCTCAGGCCGCGCGCGAAACACGGCCGGGCAGTTTGGAGACCCTCATTCGCCGCAACGTCGCTTCAGCTCAGCGGCGCCGAATTTGTCGCCGGTTTCGCCGGGCGGTGGGATGCTGGGCTGGGCTGAGTTAGGCCGTGTTTGTCGGGCGACACGGCGCGGCTTGGTATTCAGTTTTGATCAGCGGTTGGCGGTTGTAGGTCAAGGTCGCTCGTTTTCAAGTGCGGCCAGTTTAAGGAAGTCCTCTTTAGATTGCCGATCCTCTGTGGCTTTGGTATATCACAAATGCCGCATATGCGGAATGTTTGATCTGAATTGGCGACGCACATCAGAAATAAATAGTTGATCTTAACACACAACTCTTACCTGCACCATGTCCAAGTTCAGATGCTTAGAGGACTCTTGTCTCTCAGACCGGTACCCGCACACATGTTTGAAGTACGCTCAGTCGATTATATTTTGTGTCCGCATACATTGGTTGTCCGTCCAATGTTTTTTTGCGATCTTGTCCTTTTGCTGTTGCGTTAAAAAGGAGAAATACATGAAGTCAAACGGCAATTTGCGGTTGTGTGTTTTTTGCCAACATGTCAAATTCACGGCATTTTGTGAGTTGAAAGGCATGTTTATCCAATGTCAGTTTGCGGATGTTTCCCGAATGTCAATTTATCGGAATGGTCTTCAGTCGAACGCAAATTTGTGTAAAATGAGTCCAGTTGAAAAAGTGTATTATGTTTGAAAGAAACAACTATGTGATCACTTTAACCGACTGATAATATGCCGAAATTTTACTAAGAGAATGCCAGTTATCTGGTATGTTCTTCAGTCGAACGCTAGCTGCCCAAATGTTCTTTGGCCAAGTGCGAATTAGCCGATTGTTCTGTAGCCGAATACTCAAGCGATCAAATGTCATTAGTGGATTGTGTACAGAGGTCTTTTAAATGGTTACTAGTTGCTAAGATTTCAACATGACAGTCTTTTCCTCTCTCAGCCTGCATTGTTATGCACGGTGATGAATCAGATCAGAGTCAGAGTCTCACTATCCGCCGCCGCTGTAAGCACCCATTTTTCCAGCGTGGCCGGATGAAAAGCCAATGGCAAGCGAGAAAGAGATGCTTCTAAAATAAAGAGATACTTCTATGGCTACCGAGAAAGTAAAAGCTACATGAAATACCTAGACTTCGACGAGATATTCGAAAAGTTATTGACATTTTCTCTGTCAAATAAGAGCAGTGGCCTACGGCCAACTTTTGACCTTAAAACTTGCCTGTATCAATTGCCCTCACTAAATACCATATAGAAGGCGTCTTTACGACGAGTTTCTTACTTGGCTTCACATGGGTCGTTTTTACTCGTAAGGCTGAGTTCAGCCATGCCTGAATACCTAAACCTGAGATCTTACTGGCCGATCTGATGCGGTCAAAGTGGGTACCACCGTGTTCGTTTTGTCCGCAGCTATGTGGTTATTGTGCCGCCATCTCAGTTAGAGGCTGAGTAACGAGAAGTATCCATACCTTCATTCCGTTCAGTCGTTGGTGAAACCCCATGGGAGCCATCCATTAATAACATCGCGCAAAGCTGATAAATCTGCGAACCCCTATTCTTCTCCATTGTTAAACGGAGTTTTATGGTTACTCCATGCATTTTAAAGCTTTGGTTACACTCCAGCAAACCCTTCTCATCAATGCAGAACGTAATTCATGGACGCCCTCTGACGATCTGCTCCGGCTATCACTTAACGTAATTACCAATCGTCTAGTTCACATTTCTACCAAATGAATTAGACTATTTGGTGATTCGGCGCATCTACATTCGTCTACTTTCCATTTTTCACATTCATATTTCAACAAAAAGGGGTCGTCTATACATTCCGCCACGCGTGGAGAAAGGGAGTGTTTGATGGGTTGTAACTGAGGCGGAGCAAGGGGAGGAGAGGTCTGGCCAGGGTAGCGTAGCGCTTGGGCTTGTTTGCAAACCTTGATATTCTGTTTTCATGTCATCAAACCTCGAAATGGGGGTTCCACATTTGTATATTGTTTTGAACTGAAAGAGCCATCTTGAAGACCTTTCGGTGCAGTTCACAGC